GGGGGCGAGGGAGAAGATGAGTGGAATTGATGAGTCGGGCCGTCGTCCGTGCCTCCCCTCTATACGTCAGAGTGGGACCTACGCCGCGCCGGGTAAGGGGCGCGCCCGGTCCTCGACGGAGCCGCGCGCCCCAAACGACCCAGGCGGCGAGTAGTCGTCCTCGAACCTTCGACATGTAGTTGCCCATAGTTAGCGCCCGCCCGCCCCCCCCTCCGTCGCTTCGCAAAAGAAAAAACAAAATACAAACAAGCAAAAGAGAAAGCGAAGCCAAAAAACGATTGCGTAAACGGCGTCACAAAGTTCTGGCCTCGGTGCCTTGCTCCGTGCGTGCGGTCTGGACTTGGACGTTGCTTGCTCGATCTGAACTTGTGGAGCGTCGTGTGCGTTGTGCCTCGTTCGTTGGCTCGGTCCGTTTGTTGAAGAATGCGAGATTTCCAAAAAAAGAAGTCGCGGACGCGGCGGCGGCTCACTTCTCTTGCTCACACGCACGACGTCTCGTCGACCTTCCTCCTTTCTTGTGCTGCTGCATCTCGACCTTCCTTGCATGCCTTTTCGACGCCGATGGACGCTGCGTGCGGCGCTCTACCTGATGCAAGCCTGCGCCAGCCGCGCGCTACCAGTCACAGACCCGAGCAGCCAGCGCAACGCCAACCAACAAAATACGGAGGGTCGGCGGCTCACACAGTTCTGGCCTGACCACCCGCAGGTCGTGATGGGCGCGGCGCCACGCCCTAAAGATGGCTCGGCGCGCGAGCATCCTCCAGCGCCCGCCATCGTTCGAATGCTTGGTCAGCCAAACCACACGGCGATCGTCCTTCGCACCGCAAAAACCCTTCCGATGGCGCTGATCGACGCCTGCTATGTCCGCGACCCCCTGCCAGCGGGGCACGATATGTGGGTGCTGCACAACATGGAGCAGCCCAATAGCTCCATGGGCGACCAGCTGGTAGCCAAGGGCGTCAACGCCATGGTGTACACCGGGCAGAACGTCAGGGACGCGTTCGGGCAAGCCTACAACGGATGGCTGCACTACACTCCAGGCCTCGTGTTGCTCCTGCTTTCGGCCCCGGCGTATCAGTACGTTTGGGCGATCGAAGACGACACGCTCTTCACTGGCCGCCTGCCTTCCTTCTTGATTTCGCAAGCGGACTACACCGAGGATTTCATCGGGGCACACAAGCCAACGCACGGCTCGTGGATGTGGGGATACGGCACAGTCGTGCCTCGCGAGGCGGATAAGGTGAAGACGAAGGTGCAGGTCTATCGCCTCTCGGCGCGTCTGTTGCGCACCTTTGACGACATGCTCCAACTCGGCTTGCACGTCTACGTCGAGGGCACGGCCTCGATCTGCTACGGCCTGCGGTGGTGCTCGACACGTCAGCTGCCACAAGAGGTTCAAGGCACGCGCTTTGAGTGGAACACGAAGCTGACACCGCGGCACCTGTGCGCGCTTGGGGATGACGGTCGCGACAAGTGGCAGCACAAACTTCCGTGGATGCGCCAACCCACGCCGGACGAAGTGGTGGTGCTGCGGAGTGTGTGTGACGCCCAGCCGCCGCCCGAGGACACGTGCTCGCGCCTGCCCGTGTGCAACAGCACGATGATGGGCTCCATGGCGAGGTGCGTCCGCAGCAGGACGCCCCAAGCAAAGCAGGCTTCGTAGGTGGCCACCTACTGCTCCTGCTGTCTTGTCCATTTGACTCTAAGTCTAATTGACTGATGACTCACTGTGAGAGTGTTTTTACGTGTCGTGGATCGATATGAACAAAACCTGTTTATGTAAAGCTTGATCGAACCCGCCTCGAGCCCCCGAAACTCTTTTATAGTGTACTTGGCAGGCGACGGGCGGGATTTCTGACAAAGCCCCCAGCTCCACTGACGCGCGCCCGACCTGGCGCTCGCCATGCTGCTGGCTGACGCCGCTGCCGCTTTGCGTCCTCGCGCAGGGCCTCCGCCACCTCCACAGCGACGGTCGACGCCTCAAGCACCTCGAGCTCGGCGGTCAATGAGAGGATCGCCGCGATGCCCGCGCCATCAGTCGCCTCCAGATCCGCTTGTAAGCCATCGATGACCGCCTGCAGCGCCGCCTTCTGCTGCGCGATGCCCGCCTCCATCAACACCATGCAGACGATGTGCCAGCTTGCACGGCGCTCGCGCCGCGCCGGCTGGCTCATCGAGCGCGCTCTCTGGCTCCGTCCGGGCCACGCGCGGCGCCGCGCGTGCCTCGCGCCACTCGCCTCGGCTGGCAGTACAACGCCAAAGCCGCCTCGCAAACACCGCGCACAGCACCAGCATGCTGCCCACCAGGCAGCAGAGTGCTGCACCGGCGTGCAGCGGATGCTGCGGCGCTGCGGCGCCGCCTCCCCGCCCTGTCCACGGAGCAGGCGAGCGGCGGCACGGCCTTCCACGAGCTGCAGGAGGTGCGCACTTCCCAAAGGAAGCACAGGATGCTCCCTCCGCATACGCAGCTTTGCGCAGCGCAGCGTACGGGCCACGCCACGCAAAGCCGACCCTCAGTCTGCCCGAGAGGCTGTCGGAGGAAGGCCTGGCAAGCGTGTACTCGCCTCCTCCGCGGCCATGCCCTCCGCCCGGGCGAGCGAGGAGCGGGGACACAACCATTGCTGGAATTGTGTGTCCCCGAAGATCTACCTTTTTCTAGGCCCAGATTTTTCTTTTTCGAAGGCCAGTGGGGACTCGGTCGCTGTCGCTGTCGCAGCCTCTCGCTCGCCCTCGCCACTCGCCTTATGCTGGCCTGCTTGGCGCCAGCCTCGGCCTCGCCCCCGCCCATCTTCGCGGCCCGGCTGCGCGTCTCGCCTTGGCACGTGCGACCCGCGCCTTCAGCGGCCCGCGCCAGGCCGTGATTGAGGAGCGGCTCGCGAGCGCGTTTGCGCCGCTGCACCTCGCGGTCGAAAACACGTCGCATGGCGCGCGCGCACGCTCTCTCCCGCACGCACTGCCTCTGCCGCCCGCGCTGTCCGTGCGCCACCGCAGGCACCGCACACGCCGCCGCGTTGACGCGCGGCGCGCACCCAGCGCCTCCTGCGGGCCGGAGGGTGTCTACTCTTTCGACGCACCGTCCTCGACCCCGCCGAAAAGCTGGCTGATGGTCGCGCGCGGCGCGTCGGCGCGGCTCCAACTGGTTGGGCACCTCGGCTGGGTCCATCGGCACGAGGCCCGCCCCGTCGGGCAGCCCCGCGAGCGCATGGGCGGCCGGCGCGAGCTCTGGGCCGGCGCGGGGGCCCCCGGCCCACACCGTGCGCCGCGCAGCAGTGCGGAAACGGGGCTCCGGCTCTATGAGTCTCTATGAGCACCGACTTCCCGATTAAGCTAGGTTAATCAGAGGGCAGATTTGGAGAGATCTCGAGGAGTACATACAGATAGACCCTCCAACCATCAGAAAACTCCGACCTGATCGGTCGTACTGACCGCCGACAGATCACTGCAGACAGCAGACAGGCCGACGTCTGCACGCGGCCGGCCGGGCGAGAGGCTTGACACGATCCGACCCTGCGACCCTGACGCTGCTGCTCTAGCTATCAGCCATGCACTGCTGACTGCTGCCACAATGTGCGACCTGTGCTGGCCCACTTGGCGGCCTTCCCGGTCAGTGGTGAGGCGCAGTTCAGAGCTGTCGATGGCGCGATGCCGCACTGGTCCCACATTGGTGACACGAGACCACCAAGTTTGCCGGTCCAAGAGAGAGGCACCGGCGCTGTCCTGAGAAGGTGCGTGGTCCCTCTTGACTGCCCATGCGCGCGAGGCTGTGTAGGCATAGCCTCGAGAGTGCCAGCAGCCCATCCGAGGTGACGCGCATTGCGCCAGAAGCGTGCACGCAGCTGGAAGGACACCTTCCTACTGGCCGTACGATCAGGTCGTCACTGAATGCTTAATACTAGGCCGCGAGCTATGCAGGTGATCAATTGTGCATCATGGCACGGTCAGCTGCGCCGACAGGCTGTCGCAAGGCGTGATAGCATGGCCGCAAGTACAGCGAATTCCCATGAAACAAGTAAAAAATCGCGAAAAAAGAAAAAAAGAAAGAAATCGGCGCCTGCGGCGGGCCATGGGACCCCATCTCCCCCCCGCATGGACACCCTCTGGGCCCCCCGCGCCGGCCCAGAGGGCGCGAGCGGAGAACGACGGCCGAGATCGGCGCTGGGTTGGTATGAAAAGACGTGGCGCCAGAGGGGGGGGGGCGAATAAGATACATCATATCGGGGATTGAACTGAGGGATAGGGGCGGGGATCCTCCCTCTTCCCGCCGTCGATGCTGGGGTTCAACCAATCCGGAGAGGTCATTACTTTACCATTCCTCCATACACACTACCCGGCTTCATCGGCGGGCGTCTGGGAGTGTGTCGTCAACTGGCCGGTGGTCTTTCAGTGTGGTGGGTGGGTTTCGTGACCGTTCATCGTCGATGCCGCCTGACTTACCTGTTCCCCGCTGGCGCGACCCCGCACCGGCCAGCGGAGCCATTGCCCGCTCAGTCACCACCCCCGCCGGCGCGGGCGACGCGATCCGATCGGCGGCGCCACCGACGGGGCCGCCGGCACGGGGTGGATTCTCCGTCGTTGCCGGTCGGGGTGTTGGTCGGGACATGGGCGGCGCGACCACTGCACCGCTCCAAAGGCCAGAGACCAGGTCGGTGTGCAGGTGGTCGCGCCGCCCCGCCCTGCGTCGCCCGCCGCCGCGCCGCGCCGCCGCCTCGCGTCGCCATGTACCGTGCCCAGCACCACGCCCCACACCTAACGTATTTCGGAGTGAGGGCCGTAGCCCCAAGTGACCCACCTCCTCTGGGTGGGCGCGGGGGCCCCTAGAGGGCACCCATCCATGCGGGGGGGAGATGGGGTCCCACGGCCCGCCGCAGGCGCCCGATTTTTTTGAGATTTTTTTCGCGCGATTCTTTAGTTGTTTTCATGGGAATTCGGCGATTGATGGGAAGGCGAAACACAGTCCGACCAACGACTGGGACACCAACGCGGTATGGGCGGACGCTAGACGGGCGGTGACGGTCACATAGGAGCGACACACAGAACCACAACTCCATCCGGCGCGCGTCGCTGGGCGCCCAGAGCCGCGTCCCCTCTCCCCTGCTGGTACGACTGTGCCTCGCTGGAAGGGGAAGTGGTAAATATCGTCGATGAAACGCAATTCCCGCCACACGGCGCCCCCGAAAACGGCAAAACTCTCCCGGAGGGGGGGGGCGGTTCATGGCGACGTGCGCGACGCTCGACGTACCGTCGATCCGGCTCGCGGGAGGCGTGGGCGGGCGCCCGTATGCCGAGTACGAGATCGTCTTGCGCGACGGCGATGCCTCCCGCTCCTCCTTCAAGCGCTGGTCCGAGGTGGCTGAGGCATATCCGCGGGAGCTACCCGCCGGGCCTCCAATGCCCTTTAAGCTGCTCACAAACGAAGACCTGGCGCCGGCGCACCTGTCGCAGCGGCGCGCGCAGCTCGAGTCCTTCCTCCGTTGGAAGCTCCGGCATGCCCCCGCCTCGGTCCTCAGCTTCTTGCTCCCGCGCTCACCGTCGCCGCCAGAGGGCGTGCCAGCAAAGCCCGCCCTCACGCCGGCGACGCGAGGGCGCGGTCCGCGGCGGGCGGCGGAGCAGCTCTTTCACTCCGCGCACTCCGCTCTTCGCGATCTCCAGCTCAGCTTCGCCTCTCCCCCTCCCCGTGTGTCCACCCCTCGGGAAGCAGCAGCAGAGGCAGCCGGTGGCGCGGCAACGAGCGCCCTCGACCTCGCGCCGACTCGGTCGCCCGAGCGCTGCGCACACACGCCAACATCGATGCCGTCGCGCATCCCCATCGGGCGCTGGCGTTCCGGCCAGGCGCAGGGCCGCCTGGCAGCCTCTCCCTCCGCCTCCCGGGCTGACTCAGCCGCAGCTGTGCTTCAGCGGCACGTGCGTACCCGCCGATGCCGCGTGCGAGGCCGCGCGGCGGCAACGGTGCAGGCTGCCTGGCGAGGCCGCGTCGCGCGTCGCCGGCTCGCCGCTGCTCGCCAGATCTGGCGCGGTTGCGCCGCCACGCACCTCCAGCGCATCTATCGAGGCGCCGTCGGCCGCGGCAGGTGGCCACTCAGAAACCTGGCCCAGCCTCGCCGACCGCCTCTGCCTCTCGCCTCCCTTGCTCACCGGGCCTCTCGCGTGGCGTCAGGGTTCGCGCCGCGCTGAGACTGTGGTACGCGTGCTCCGCCCTCCACCTGCAGCGCGTGATGCGCGGCGGCCTGGCGCGGAAGCAGCTCCGCCGTGTGGTCGCCGCGAGGATGCCCGCGATCCCGCACTCGCTCATCATTGCGCCCTTGGCCAACGCTTCGAAGGAGTGCCGCGCCAAGGCAACCACGCACCCCTCACCCCACCGCCATCCCCAGTCTACCCACTCGCTCGCCCACCCCTCCCCCTTCCAACCGCAACCCCTCCTCGCCGCCACTCCTCAGCCCACTGCTGCGCAGGCCCTCAAGCTCCCCTCCCTCGCGCGTCCCGTAGGCGCCGCCGCCTTCGCCCTGCGCCACGGACGTCGTCCTGCCCCTCCTCTCGCACATGCGCTCCGACCAGCAGCTGGCGGCGGCCGCCCTGCAACACGACCCGTCCCGCGGGCTCGCAACTGTCTCAAACGCGCTCGCCAACACGCGCCTGCTTCTCGGCATACTCCGGGGCGAGAGGCACGAGAGCATCCACCCGAGAGCGGCGCCATGAAGTGGGCGCCCTCCGCCTTTCCGTGGCGCGCGGCCCTGGCTTGGGTTGGGGTGCGAGTCTGGTCTCCCGGTCTCTGGCATGTCGGGCTGTCTGTGCGGGCGGAGAGGGGCCTCGAGGCTTCGACCGCGATTAGGGTTGTCTCAAAAATCGTCATTTTCGTAGACACACTCAAGCAAGGCACACAACGCAGCTGCACCTGTTGCCGCTCGAAAAGCGTCGTCACCCTGGTGTTAGTGGCTCGAAGATGGAGCCTACTCTGCCAACAGTTGTTGCCCAAGAGCTGCCACCGGAGAACACGGAGGCACAGGAGGCGGTCGACCTGACTGAGGTTTTTGCCGTGCCGGTGACGAGCAGCGATGCGTCTGGCGAGGACACGGACATAGCCGAGGATTCAGGCGGCGATTCGGAAGATGCCGACGCCGACGCCGACGCCGCCGCCCTGGTGAAGTTCGGCGGCGGCTCAGGCGACGAGACCGACGAGCCGGAGCCGGGGGAGAAGGACGGCGTGGCAAAGGCGGAGGAGGAGGGCGGGGAGGGCGACAAGAGAACCAAAGGGACGTGGGCGGCGGAGGAGGACGCGATCCTGACCGAGCTCGTGGCGCGGGAGGGGGCGCACAAGTGGGCCAGCATCGCCTCCGCTCTCTCGGCTCGCGGAGGCGTGGAGCGTGCCGGCAAGCAGTGCCGCGAGCGCTGGTTCAACAACCTCTGCCCAGAGGTGGAGCATTCTGGGCCCGAAGATGCTGGCGGAGGGAGGGAGCTTCCCCGCTGACGCACGTCGTCGGCGCGTGCAGGTGCGCAAGGGCGGCTGGTCCCCCGAGGAGGACCGCGTCATCTTTGAGAGCGTGCGCGAGCACGGGACGAGGTTTGCCAACGCCGCTGCCGCCGCCGCCGCCGCCACCGCCGCTGCCGCTGCCCTCCTCGCCGTCGCCCTCGCCGCCCTCGCCCTCGCCCTCGCCGCCCTCGCCCTCGCCGTCACCGCCCTCGCCGTCACCCGCCGCCGTCGCCGCCGCCGCCATCGCTTTCAAGCCCCGCCGCCGCCGCCACGCCTCCCCACCCGCCGCCTCCCTTGTCTCCTCCCTCGCCGCCTCGCTCGCCCACAACCCACCCTCGCCGCCTATCACCCCCTGCAGGTGGGCCTTCATCGTCAAGCTGCTGCCCGGCCGCACCGACAACGCCATCAAGAACCGGTGGAACTCGGAGATGCGCAGGCAGAAGCGCCTCAAGCGCCTCGAAGAGATGGCAGCAAACGGAGAGGCGCGCAACCGCCGCCGCCGCCGCCGCCGCCGCCGCCGCCGCCGCCGCCGCCGCCGCCGCCGCCGCCGCCGCCATCGTCGCCGCCGCCGCCACCCTCCGACCACGCCGTAGCCGCCACCACTCTCCCCTGCGGCTCTGCTCCGCAGGTGCCTGTCTGCAAGCCGAAGGGGCGGCCAGAGGGGCCTGCTAAGAAGCTCCGGATGCAGGTGATCTCGGCTGCATATCGGCTGCATCTCGGCTAGATCTAGACAAATCTCGGCTAGATCTCGGCCGCGCCTCCCCGGGCGGGAGAAGCCCAATGGAGATCGCACACTCCGCCCCGTCGCGCGCCGCCGCCGCCGCCGCCCCAACCGCCCTCGACTCCCCTCGCCGCCCTCATCCCTCCTCGCCACCCTCACCACCCTCTCCGCCCTCTCCGCCCTCGCCGCCCTCGCCACCCTCGCCGCCCTCGCCCTCCTCGCCCTCACCGCCCTCGCCGCCCTCGCCTCCCTCACCTTCAGAAGCGGGCGGAGCGCGCTCGGCTGGCGGAGGAGCGCGCCGTTGCAAAAGCGGCCGCCGAGAAGGCGGCGAGGGAGGCCAAGGCGGCGCGCGCAGCGGCGGCCGAGAAGGCGGCGGCCGAGAAGGCTGCGGCTGCGGCGGAGAGGGAGAGGGCGGCGGCGGAGAAGCGCGCGGCGGCGGAGGCGAAGCAGCTCGAGGCGGCGCGGCGCAAGCGTGAGCGCGGCAGCGAGGAGGAGAACCACCCGAGTGCCGCGGCGGCGAACAGCGCGAAGCGGAGCGAGGGCGGGGCCTCCCGCGACGGACCGCCGCCGGCGAAGCGAGGGCGGAAGAGGAGCGGCGTGCAGGCGCACGGCGCGGGCGCGTGGTGCTTGCCGGACGAGGGGGCGCTGGAGGCGATGCCGAGCGAGCAGATGCTCGAGCTGCTCCTGGGCGGTGCCGCGACCCTTCCGAGACACTTCCGAGACACTTCCGAGACACTTCCGAGACGCGTCCCTCCCCTCGCCGCCTTTTCCCTTCACCCGCTGGTGCCGGTGCCACACCCAGCACACGCCCGCCGACACACTCCGACCTTCACTCTGCTCGCCACGCCCCCGACCCGACACGCCCCCGACACGCCCCCGACACGCCCACGACACGCCCCCGACACGCCCCCGACACGCCCCCGACACGCCCACGACACGCCCACGACACGCCCCCGACACGTCCACGACACGTCCACGACACGTCCACGACACGCCCACGACACGTCCACGACACGTCCACGACACGTCCACGACACGCCCACGACACGCCCACGACACGTCCACGACACGCCCACGACACGTCCACGACACGCCCACGACACGCCCACGACACGTCCACGACACGCCCACGACACGCCCACGACACGCCCCCGACACGTCCACGACACGCCCACGACTCGCGTCCGCAGGGGAACCGCATGCCGCCGGCCGATGCACGTCCTCTGCCGCCCGCTCGACAGAGATGGTC